TAAGTGAATGACAAAAGATTAATATTAATATAATAAAATTATAACAAAAAGGGAAATGTAGGGAGATGAAACAACAGCAAAAAATTTAAGTCACAAAACAACAATAACAAAAACTCTTCAATATGGATACAATTATAATATATATAATACACTTATTTTAGTTTAACAAGTACTCATACAAAATTAAAATATAATATGCATTCCTATCAAACAAATGAAGAATAGAACTGTACACGATATCATTATCTTTTAATCTAAATAAAATAAATAATCCATAAATGAATCATAATTCCATAAGCATCTATAATATCCAATATATAAAATATAAAAATAATTAAAGTAAAATGTATGTCTTTTAAACTCCAACAATGCCCCATAATACTATAGTCAAAACATGTAATCATCAAATCCCAAAGTCAAGACTTGGCTTTTTTTTAAATCAAGCAAGGAATCTAAATCATGCAGAAAGACAAGCAATCAAATCATTAACTTTAAGCAATCAATTTTGCCATCTCTGCTGATCTCATTAAGCTCACATATCTTCCCATCTTTGTGCATATAGAAGCCTTGCAGTAATTGTCATATATAAGGACCAAGTCCCTTATTTCTTTGTTTTATCAATCCTACAAGGAAAAATTCTGGTTTTCACTATACATCAGCATTAAGAATCTTGTGGATAAGCAAACCAACTTGATCCTAATATTTCTTAGTAATTTTATTTTATTTTTAAATAGATTTTATTGAATTTACAATTTAAAAACACATCGACAATACATTTACAAAATAGAAAGAAAACGGCTAGGGGGAAAGAAGGAAAACACCTGGCCTAACACACCGGATAAAGGCTGGTTGGGGGGAAGAGAAAAGATATAGAGGGAGAGAGGGGAAGGGAAGGGGAGGGAGAATAGGGTAGAAAATACAATTAAAAACGAATGATATCTTTTTGTGACAGTCTGTAAGGATCATTTCTCTTCGTCATATCCAATCTACTCCTCTTTTCCATTATGTTTAAGTTACTTTTTATCATTTACATAATTTGTCTCTGTGTAAGCCAATTATACCATGAGTCCCAGTTGTCGTAAAATGTTGAGGAATCTTTGTTTTTTAACGCTATCGTTAGTTTATCCATTTCAGCACACTCACAAATTTTCTGAATAACCATTTGCTCTGAAGGTGTATGAGGTGATTTCCAACATTGAGCAAACGCTAATCTAGCCGCAGTTAGAATATGGATTATTACATATTTTGTCTTTTTGGATAAATATCTATCAGAGATCCCTAACAGGAAGAACTCTGGTTTATAGTCTATTTGTTCTTTAGTTATTTCCTCCAACCATTTTCTGATTTTTTGCCAAAATTTTTGGGTAGTTTTACAAGTGTGGAAAAATGTTCCTTCAGTGCTTTTGCATTTCCAACACCTTGAGCTCATGTTAGGGTTCATCTTCGCCAACCTCGAAGGGGGTAAGTGCCATCTATATAACATTTTATACATATTTTCTTTGTACACCGCCGATTTCGTAATCTTGATGCTTCTATTCCAGATCTTTTCCCATTCTGTTAATGTAATGCTTCTTCCAATATTCCTACTCCACGTTATCATGTTCCCTTTCAGTATCTCTTGCTCTAATTCTACCTCCAATAAATATTTATAAAACTTGGAGATATTCTTTTTATTTGATCCTAATAAGATTTTATCTAAATATTGTAATTTGCTATAGATTCCAAACTCTTTGATATCTTGTTTGTATCTGCTATGGATTTTTATATATAACCACTGGTCAATTTTAAATCCCTGTTCCTGTAAATCCTGTCGAGTTCTTAATTTTCCTAGAGGGTCTAATAAATCTTTATATTTAGTCGTTTTTGTTATATCCAAATTGTTGGGATGAACCATTGCCTCCATTGTTGAAAGCCAAATTGGAATTTTTAAATAATGTTTTTTGCATATTTTTTTCCAATGTTAATAATGAATCTCTAATAAGGTGTCTATGAAAATACGACTGTTTAGTTTTCCCCACTTCCCATAGAAATGCGTGCCACCCTCTCTGAAGATCGTGCCCTTCTAAGGCTAAAGTTCTTTGGTTGAGTAAATTAACCCAGTCTTTTAACCATAATAAGTTGGCTGCCCAATAATATAATTCCCAATTTGGGAGCGCTAGCCCCCCTCTACTTTTTGCATCTTGTAAAGCCTTAATATTGATTCTAGCTTTTTTCCCTTGCCAAATAAATTTAAGTGTTACCTTATTTATATCTTCAAAAAAATTTTTTTGGTAATTTAATTGGGATTGTCTGGAATAAGTAAAGGAATTTTGGTAAGATGTTCATTTTGATCGTGGCAATCCTGCCCAATAGAGAAAGCTGCAGCTTATTCCAGGATTCTAGGTCTTTCTTAATTTGCTGTAATAGTTTATCATAATTATTCTCTTTGAGCGATTTACTATGTGGTGTTAACCATATGCCTAAATATTTGACCTTTTTTGTTGCCTGTATCCCTATGGTTTTTTCTAATTCTTTCCTCTGATTCTCTGTTAGATTTTTAGTCATTAATTTTGTCTTATTTCTATTGATCTTTAATCCTACTACTGAACCAAATTGTTCTAGTTCTTTTATTAGGTTATGTCCTTTTTCCATGGGTTCCTCTAGGAAGAAAACCATATCGTCTGCAAACGCCTGTAGTTTATATTCCTCTGCTTTGACCCTTACTCCTTGGATTTCAGAGTTTTGTCTTATCCGCGTTAACAGTGATTCTAAAGCAAGTATAAATAGGAGGGGTGAGAGGGGGCAACCCTGTCTAACACCCTTTTCAATGTTTAATGGGCCTGTTTGTTCACCGTTAATTAGTATGTTGGCCTGTTGGGTGTTGTAAATTGTTGTGATAATGTTCTCGAATTTAGTGCCCAGACTCATGTTATAGATTTTTTGTATTAAAAAGTGCCAATGTAGATTATCAAATGCTTTCTCCGCATCTAAAAACATGAGTGCAAATTGTTTCTCTGGATGAACTTCATAATATTCTAAGATGTCAATAACGGTTCTTAGATTATTTTTGATTTGGCGGGATGGAAGGAAACCATTTTGATCTTCATGAATGTATAAATTTAAAACTTGTTTTACTCTATT